TAACTATCGGTAATATATTTTCATGTTTATTTCCTCCTTCTCTTTTCGTCAATTCTTTATCCCCCTTCCCTTATGACAGTAAATAAAACGTAAAGAAACATAATTTATAATGATTTAGTTTATTTTCAGTACGACAAAAAAAAAAAAAAGGGAAATAAAATGATAGTATGGTAGTGTCATCTGTGTAACACGTTTTTAAACTTGTTGATCACGATAAATTTGTTCTCCGTAATAAACTAAAAATATCCAGAACAAAAATTTGACAAGAACAACAATTATTTCTTTCAGATTCCGAGAATCTCATTTTTTTTCAAGTTTTGAAGCGAAAAGAAAACAGAAAAACAAGCAAACAAAAAAACTCAAACGTAAGTTGGATTTTTCTGTAATTATGATATTTCTTTGCAGAAAACATCAATTAGATAATTTTTGGGCCTTTACACTGTACTTAGAAGTATATTAGTTATCAATCCCCGTTGGAGAGAAAGGATAAATTTTAAAAGGATAGAAAATAATAAGTTATCGCATAAAAATAACTTATTGAGAAAACCAAGATTATTAAGATTTGATTAGGAATAAACACTTTAGCAGAATATCCAATATGTTGTCCATTTCGAGAACCAAGGCGGTAATAGAAGGTAATAGACAAAAACATTGGGCACAGAGGCTTAAAGGAATTAAGAATTTTTTAAGCAATCACCTGATACAGGAATTACAAACAATAGACATTGCACGTAAATTTTAAATTTTTAGGTTCTTAGAGTTGAATTTTCTAGCCACTAGTTAGAAGCACACTTCGTTAACTTATATGAACAAGGTAACATACACCGCAGTAACTTATAGAAACTCAGATAGATCGAAATTCGTGAAATGAACAGCCACTTTTATATTTTAATACAGTTTCCGTTATATGGCATTAGTTGTCGCTAGGGTATGTAGATTGTTTTGACAGCCAGCTTTTACTATAAGCTTGAATTATTTTATTTTTTTTAGAAGTAAGTGAATCTATAAATGTACAAGTGAACACTCAGTTTGAGTTAGGCCTGACAAGGCTTTCTACTTGCAGTCTGCGAGTTTGAAACGTCGTTCCACCAAAAACGTTCGCTCTTTCAGTCGCGGGTACGTTATAATTTCACTGTTAATCCCACAATTAGTTGGTGAAAGAGTAGCCCAAGAGTTGACATTGGGTGGTGATGACTAGCTGCCTCCCCTCTAGTCTATCACTGCTATATTAGGGACGCTAGTGCAGATAGCCCTAGTGTAGCTTTGCGCGAAATTCAAAACCATTTCAATTTTCTTCTTTGTACACTTACGGTATGCAATCATGTACCATATTGCTTGTTAAAATGTTATGTCTGTGTAAAATAATTCAGATTTAGTTTGTTAACTCTGATGTTACCCCTTTTTTATAGAATAAATAAATAAATGTAAAGCGTCATTATACAAGCTTAATTTAGTGTAAAACTAAAAAATGTTGGTATACCAACAATCAACTTCATACTCTGTCCTGAAAGTAGTGATGCGTCAGCGAGATCACGTGACTATTTTCACGCCCTCTGCTTTCTAGAACTATCCTGTACCTTGGCGAATTCTCT